TCCTGGTTCTCAGGAAACAAGTTTGTTCCCTTGAGGCCAAGGTGGCTGACCTGGAGAAGCAGAGACAGTCAGCCACATGGAGAAGACTCTCGGGGACTTGCTAGATATGTCCCAGTCTGAATATGGCAGGGAGCATGAGGGTCGAGAGGGAACAGGGCACCGTGCTGCGGATATGGGGAATGTGCCCTCAGAAGGGACCTCTTCTTCAGCTGGTGAACAGGTATCCTTTTGTACCAAGGAACCATCCCTGGGCAGGCAGGGAGGGGGGCTCTCGGTAGTTGGTGATTCGATCCTTAGGCAGGTAGACAGTTGGGTGGGGACCGTATGGTGACTTGCCTGCCTGGTGCGAAGGTAGAGGACATTACAAGTGTTCTAGATAGGCTGGTAGATAGTGCTGGGGAGGAGCCAGTGGTCGTGGTACATGTTGGCACCAACAATGTGGGAAAATGCAGTTGCGAGGTCCTGGAGGAAAAATTTAGGCTGCTAGGCAGGAAACTCAAGGCCAGGACCTCCAAGGTAGCCTTCTCAGAAGTGCTACCTGTTCCATGCGCAGGGCCAGAGAGACAGGCACAGATCAGGAATCTCAGTATGTGGATGAGACAATGGTGTAGGGGGGAAGGGTTCAAGTTTGTTAGACAATGGGATACTTTTTGGAACAAGAGAGAGCTGTACAGAACAGACGGTCTCCACTTGTCCCGAGAAGGAACCAGGCAGAGCAGTTTTTAAACTGAATATTGGGAGAAAGCCGACAGGAGATAATACGCCTCTGGTTTGGGATGGCTCATCTCAGAGAGATGAGGGGGTAGCTGTTGCTTTTCTACAGGGAGGTGGATTTGAATTGTCCACTGAGACTATGGCTAGTGATATGGACTGCCTGACAAGGTCTCAAGAGAGCAAGAGGAAAGTTGCAGGCTTAACATGTATGGGAAATTATAGGAGTTTCTATACAAATGCTAGAAGTGTCCAAGGTAAAATCGGGGAGTTAAAGTGCTTGGTGTTGGGGGGGGGGGGAATAGACATTGTGGGTATTTCAGAAACTTGGTGGGATGAGGAAAATCAGTGGGATACGGTGATTCCCGGTTATATATTATATCGGAAGGATGGGGGGGAAGGGTTGGAGGTGGAGTGGCTCTGTATGTCAGAGAGGGTATACAGTCCAGTAAGATTGAGAGGGTAAGAGATTTGGATTCGCTTCTGGAAATGCTATGGGTTGAAATAGTGGGCCCAAAAGGAAGTTTAAGACTGGGAGTTTGTTATCGCCCACCAGATCAAAAGATAGAGGAGGATTATAAAATGATGAATGAATTAAAGATAGCGGCTAGACAAAAAAACTGTGTCGTAATAGGTGATTTTAACTACCCACACATTGATTCGGTCAATATGTGTTCTAGTCGGGAAAATGAGATTGAGTTTCTAGACACTCTCAATGACTGTGCTATGGAGCACATGGTCAGAGAACCTACCAGGGGAGAGGCGATCCTGGATTTGGTCCTAAGTAACGCCCAAGACCTTGTGAGAGATGTAAAAGTGATTGCACCACTTGGAAACAGGGACCATAATGTTATTGAGTTCAACATTTGTATAAATAGGGAATTGGCCAAAAAGACTGACACAACCACTTTTAATTTTAAAGGGGGTAACTTATCTGATATGAGGGAATATGTG